GCGTCTTATATGCCGGAGCGTCTTATATGCCGAAAAATATGGTAGTATTTAAATCACACAATCAACAGCAATCTTTACTTTTTCATTCAGTTTTTCGTGGATCTGCTTCTTACAAAGTTATTATAAAATCACTCAAAGTTACTCTTACAGAGTTACTAAGATTGCCAAATAAAAGTGTAACAATCAAAGAGAAGGTTATTAAAAAAACCTAACCACATGCTTATATCGAGTTTACAGTCTTCTTGTGTGAATGAATCTTTTCAACTCATGGCTTTTCTTGGCAAGATTTGAGAGGAGGTTTGCCATTGCCTTCTCCTGAGGCTGAGAGCATGTGACTTGTTCAAGGTCACCCAATGGGTTTCATGGCCAAGCGGGGAATTGAACCCTGGACTCCAAAGTCATCGTCCAACGCTCAAAACCACTACGCTACGCTGGTTTTCCGTTATAATATTAACTCTTTCCCTGGCTTTTTAACGCATGCTTTCTAGAAATGGGCTACTCTGCATTTGTGAAGGCAAACACCAAGATCCTGTTCAGTAGTTGTGTGACCTAATAATAATAATAATAATAATAATAATAATAATAATAATAATAATTTATTTACATTTCCCACCTCTCCCTACGGATCGATCTCATCTCATGCCATTGCACTAGGATGCACTACCGCACAAGCAATAGCACAAGCAGAACCACAATCTGGTAAGTCATGTTACAATTCTCACTTTGGATCATACCCCAGTTAGGGTTTGCACATCTCCCTGTTTGCACACCTGCAAATCACTTGTGAACCTTTGTACAAGAGACTGATGCGTATGCACATAATATGTACCACCCTTCCACAAAGACTAAAAATGTGCAACCGTGAGCAAAACAGGAGTTATGCCAATATAAACACATAACAAGATGCAGGGAAAACACAGGCAACAAGCATGTTGGTTATTCCAGACTAGATTAATCCATAATAAAATGGTGGGATCCCATGGCACAAGAAGATGCATAAGGAAATAATTCTAAGATCAAGCTTAACTTGTATTCCCATCACACTCACTTTATTTATTGGTATCAAGAGCATTTGGAACTGCCCACCATTAGAAGAATGCGGCCCCAGGAATTTATCCGAAACTGAATTCACCAACCCTTGGGTATCCCTTCCGGGGAATAGGGAGTAATTTATGGGCAAAAAAATAGTCAAGAAATCAGAGTACAACATGGTGGTATGACCTGAAGGACCAATTCAGCCCCTCCATATCTCGATAACTGCCCAGCCCCAACTGAAAATGCAACTTGCCTGGGGCTGGGCCCCCTCTTCTGCCTGCATGCCTCCCTAAAATATCATCTACACAATTTTTTTTCCCTGGGAAAATCATTTCCCCACTTGCAGGACCTCTTGGCTCTGAGTAGAGCTTGGGAAGTTACTTTTAAAATGGTGGGGTTTTTTTGTAAACTGTAATTTACTTCCAAATACAGCATCTTCTTGTAACCTGTTGTAATTATTCGTTGCAATGTTATACATTGCATTATAAACCATTTTTAAAACAACATTATAAGCAGCTTTTTGACATTATAAAAAGGAAAAGCAACTTGTTCCATTGCCTGTTTACATTGTCTTTCACTTTCCTTCATCTTCAGTTACTTTTTAAGAGGATTCTAATGGGGTTCAACCTGTAAAATTGCCCCACAGCCTTAGCTGCCCATTGGATGCTAAGCAAGGACGGAGCCAGGCGAGCCTCCTTTGGGAGGGAGCTCCGCTACAGAGAAAGCGCCAGCGACATATTCACCTACCATTGCCGCACACGGCAACGGGACGCACAACAGGCCCTCCACTGAAGATCTTCCATTTTGGACAGACTCGTATGGGAGAAGGCAAGACTTGATGCGTCCATGAAACCATAGATCTATAGAATAGGGAGGGGTCCCCAAGGGTCATCTAATCCATCCCCCTGACAGTGCAATGAACACGCTGCTGTCTCAGAGAGTGGTGGTGTCTCCTTCTTGAAACAGAGGCTGGATAGTCATCCATTGGGCATGCATGGATTGTGTATTCCTGCATGGCCAAGGGTTGGACTGGATGACCCTTGGGGGGTCTCTTCCACCTCTATGATTTCTATGTGACTCAGTGCATTACTTTTGAAATGGAACCCCAATCTGCCTTCACATGACACACACATACACACTGCCCCCCCAAAAAAAATTAACTAGCTAATGGTTAATTATGTTGCAAGTAATTCATTATTGCAAAGCTTGGCCCTTAGCCAGGCATCTTTCCTCTCCCTCCCGGCCTCCGCCACCCCTGCAAAACCTAAGAAGGGTTTATCCACAGCCATCCGGGTGGGTCAAGCCGTGGGATGACCTTGGCCTCATGCACGCACGCACATGGGGCGGCTAGATTTTGGTCTGGGGAGTGAAGTGCCAACATCCAAATCTCTCCCCAATTAACTTTTTAATGGTCACAGGGGCCAGACGGAGCCATTAGGAAGTTAATGTTTATGAAGCGGCTTGATTTTTTATTAACAACTCATGGAATTAAAAATGGTGTGTGTGTGTGTGTGTGTGTGTGTGTGTGAATCTTTAGAGCATAACCCATCTATGCCATTGCCGCCAGGTGCATGCATTATGCGGGTCTGTATGGTAGGAACTCACCTGACAGTGTCACCCCAGAACCACTCCTAGGCTTGCAGAAAATCTGAGACACATCTCCAAACCCGAGACAGTCCTGCTACCGAGCTCTTATACCCATCAGGGAAGAAACGCAACCGCAATAAAAATTCCCCCAAGCACCTGCTACAAAACTGATGGCCAAGATCCCACATTGGGGTTTCCCACTGCACATTCCCACATTTGACACCCATGAGTTGTGCCAGGCAACCCTTGCATTGAATAGCAACCAAGACCTTATCTGCACAGGCCAAATAAGCCAGCGTCTCCCGTCCTTTTGGCGTGGAGACCAGACGGCGCATGACCCAAATCCCGAATCTGGTGTGAACAGACCAAACAACGTTGTGCAGATAAGGCCTGTGAAGATAAGGTCTTGGTTGCTATTCAATGCAAGGGTTGCATAGCACAGCTCATGGGTGTCAAATGTAGGAATTTGCAGTGGGAAACCCCAATGTGGCATCATGCCCACCAGTTCTGTAGCAGGTGCCTGGGGGAACCACGTTCGGTCTGTTCAGCGCCAAATGCAGGATATACGCATGTTAAAACGGGTTTAAAGAACTTCCTATTTGCTCCAGATCTTCCTGGAAGATCCAGAGCCCTCCAGAGCCCGTTCTGACACTGGCTAGCTGTTTAAAACATGTCCTGCTCTGCCATCTGGTGCAGCCACAATTGGGCAATTAAAGTGGTCTCAAACTGGATTATTTCTGCAGTGTGTTTCGAACCGGACTGAGTTGAACCTAAATCTGCCAAGTGTTTCCATGTCAATGCAGCAATAAATTTATCCCAGGTTTCCATTTGAACTTTTTAGAATGTATCTTCAGGAAAGGTTTTATACCCTTGGAGAGCTCCCATCTCAAGTCTGGATGAAAACCCAGAATGGAGTCACTACCCCACAGAACCACAGAGCAACCACAGCCCAAGTGCAATTTTTAGGCTGCATCTGTACTGCAGAAATAATGCAGTTTGATACCACTTTAACAGCCATGGCTCAATGCCATGGGATTTCAGGATTTGTAGTTTTGTGGGACATCTGGCCTTCTCTGTCAGAGAGCTCTGGTGCCACAACAAGCTACAAATCCCAGGATACCATAGGAAGGAGCAGTGGCAGTTAAAGTGGTGACAAACTGCATTAATTATGCAGTGCGGATGAAGCCTTAATTCCAACCAGAGGGATTCCATTCTTTCTAGCATCATGTCAACACATTTACCAAAGTCTCGGGGTTTCAGAGGGAACTTGTTGAGTTTCCATTGAATCAACTGGAATCTGTTAGGTTAACACATATGTATGTCATATTGTTTCAGTAGGTCTAATACTACTGAATAGTTCTGAATGTTTTATTCTGTTGTAAAGCACCATGTACATGGATGGCGCTATATAAATAAACGATTATCATCATCATCTAGGTAGGCTAACAACTGGATTCCAGTCTTGACTGGAGCCATGAAACATTCATTCATGGAAAAGACCAGACAAAAGCCCTGCTTAAGGAGAATTCCTCAGTTCCCAAATTTAGGACTTTATCACACGGACAAAATCAGGGGTTTAAACAGCAATTATCCCGTGCAAAACACGATATCGCACTTAAGATTTTCACACACATCGCTATTAAACAGGCAATACACAGGAACAAATCATTTTTGGGATTTCCCTATGAATGATTTGTTGCTGTTTATTTCCTGTTTGTTTCCAGTTTATTGCCTGTGTGATATCACGTTTTGCATGGGATGATCGCTGTTTAAACCCCGATTTTGCCCAATTTCTCCTATGTGATAAAAAAGGACCATAAACTCCGATCAGAATTCTTTCATTAGGGCTACTCTAGTTGGGCAGGAGCCAGTATGGTATAACAGTTTGAGCTCTGGACTCGGACTCTGAAGATCAGGGTTCGATTCCTCATCCAGCCATGGAAACCCACAGGGTGACCTTGGTGAGTCACACACTCTCAGCCCCAGTAAACCCTGTGATAGGTTCGCCTTAGGGTCGGAAACAAACTTGAAGGCACACATCAACAAAACACAACAATTCTAGTTGGCCTGAACATCAGGGCCAGTAATGGCAGAGCTTTCCAAATGTAGTTGCAATTATTCCCTGACCGGAAATATCTGCTCTGCTGAATCCAGTGGCGAGACTCATATGCTTTCATCTCTTAAAACGTCCTCAGCTTTAGAAGATCTTCAACCAGCCGAAATCCAACTTTGGGGTGGCAGGGGTATTGCACAGCCATCCAGAAGTGCTTGGACTGCAGCTCCCAGCAGCCTCAAACAGCACAGCTCAAGGCTGAAAAATGCTGGGAGTTGCAGTCCGGTCACATGCAAAAGGCTACACATGATTCCCATTGATCAAAAGCATGAAACATTCAATCAGACAGAGGAGCATGCAAGAGCGCACTTTGCTGGAGGCCAATTCCTTGGCTCCCTTCTGCTCCTGCAAGCATCCCTACACATGACCCACACACCACACACATACACACACAAAACACCCACGACCCCCTTCCCTTGCCTCGGCTGGGTGCC